CATGTTAAAATACTAGCTCAATAACATAATTCTTAAAAAAAATATGAACTATATAAATCTAAAAAATGATTATGAATAATACAAAATTAGAAATAATTTAATAATTAAACTTAGCACGTTTTGACTATTATTTTTTTGTTTCATGTTCCTACATATAATTTATTTCTAATTCTATACATAAAATAAGAAATTTAATTTCATACATATATTTTAAATAATTGTATTTAATTTAAAATTTTTAAAACAATTCATAATTTTTTTAAAAAAAAATAAATTATAATTTTTTAAAAAAATTAAATTGTAATTTTATAAATATTTTCATCAAAAATAGATTATATAAATTATTTTTTATAAAAATATTTTTGGTAACGACAAATGTTACCATTAAAAGTAGATTATATTAATTATTTTTAAAATTTTAAATTATTTTTTATAAAAATACTTTTGGGAGCAACAAATGTTGCTGCCAAAAATAGATTATATTAATTATTTTTAATTTTTAAATTATTTTTTATAAAAATATCTTTGGGGGCAACAAATGTTGCTACCAAAAGTAGATTATATTAATTATTTTTAATTTTTAAATTATTTTTTATAAAAATACCTTTGATGATGATAAATATGGCTGCCAAAAGTAGAATTCTAGCGGCGACAAATCAAAGTCGCCACCAAAAGTCACTTTTGGTGGTGATATTTAATCATTGCCGTCAAAAGTATAGTTTTGGTGATAACTTTTGACAGTGACTTTAATTTATCACAGCTAAAAGTCTACTTTTATCGGTGACTTTTTCAGTCATTGTTAAAAGTCATTGTCAAAAGTTATATTTTTTATAGTGCTCAACGAAATATTTGATAGGAGAATTTTCATTTAAGTTAGTGTGTGTGTCAAATGTATTCTTGTTAGGTAAATTATTAAAGAAAGGCAATTATTCTGTAAAACATAAGGTCAGAAATGAAATGAGAATATTAAGAACAGAAGAAGAAGAAGAAAAAGATATTTGGTTAATAATTTAATGACCGAGTTTGTTTGTTCTTTTGTTAACTTTTGGGTGCATATAAAATTTTTGTGCATGAAAGATTATAAAAACGAGATATAAATGATTGACAATGTTGAACAAGCTATGGTAGGAGTTGTTTATTTTCTATAAAAAGATTTGAATACCGTTTAAAAAGATTTGGAGTATTAATTTTAAAGTATTAATTCACAATCTAAAAATATTATATACATATTGAAAATCAAAATTCTTTAAAAAAATAATATTTTGATACTCTATAAATATGAATCAAAGAGTACCAATATGGATATACGTGACAATTTGAAGTATCTATGTTTCATAAATTTATTACAATCCTTTTGATTCCTCCAGAATAAATGATAGATTATTTTAATTTATTCTTGCTTAATGGTTTTTTTATTTTAATGCTATTATCAATTATTATGTATGAAAATGTTCTCATTATATTGTATTTACAGAACAATTTGGAAATATTTAAAAAAATAATATTCAAAATTATTTGTTATATTGACAACAAATGATTTTAAGACTTGAGGGAGGGTTAATTATTTTAATTCATGTATGGAAAAAAACATTGATAAATTTATTTATGCAAGTATATGTTGAAAATAAATGGTATTTTGATTATACATGGACCCATGCATGCTTGGTTAATTTAAGGATTGAATTAGAATGTTAATTACTAATGACATTCCCATTAACTTTTGGCATGCTATAATTAAATCTTTGCTAGCTTGGTATATATGAGTATTGCACTAATGCTTGTTAGTCAGTGGTCACACTTGTTATTAATGGCCTTTTGCCGTGCTTGTTATTCGTGGTTTCTTACTACGCTTGTTACTTGTGGCTTTTTGTCATTCTTGTTTTATAACTTTTTGCTACGCTTGTTTTATGGTTCCCATTTGCGTTTGTTGGTTATTTATTTTGGTGGACTATATATTTACACTTGTTAATCGTTCTAATGAAGTCTTGCCAATATTGAGTTTTGAAACTTACTATTTGTTTAAAAATGATTTTGTTAAATAAGCTATCCTTTTATCATGTATGGATTTCATAATGAGTTATAATGTAGCCTGAAAGTAAAACTACATATTTATGCAGGATTACTTGGCCCATGAGAAATGTGTCCTTGTTTTTTTTTAATTGTTTAAAGTAGATATTGTAGCCTAAAAGTAAAACTATATATTTATGTAGAATTACTTGGCCAATGAGGTATGTGTTTTTTTTTTTAATGAGTATTTTTGTTAAATCCATAATTATTTTATTTTTACACTTTTCCTTTATTTTCTTTAATTTTAGAATGAGATGTCATTCATTAAAAAATTATATTTAATCTCATCTTGTGTAGCTAGCTCTTTGCCGTTGAGAAATCATTGAAAAGGTTTTTGCTATTGAATTGAAATTGTGACATTATTTTTGTTAATATCTATCTTAATGTCAAACTTGAGTTTATTTGTTGAGTTATAAATAATATTTTAAGTGCTTCACATGCACTATAATTAAAATTCTCGTTTATTTACATATATTGTTGGCCTATTGAAAAGAGTGGAACTCCTAGTTATTGTGTTGTGTAAAATCCATAATTATTTTATTTTTACACTTTTCCTTTATTTTCTTTAATTTTAGAATGACATGTCATTGAAAAATTATATTTAATCTCATCTTGTGTAGCTAGCTCTTTGCCGTTGAGAAATCATTGAAAAGGTTTTTTCTATTGAATTGAAATTGTGACATCATTTTTGTTAATATCTATCTTAATGTAAAACTTGAGTTTATTTGTTGAGTTATAAATAATATTTTAAGTGCTTCACACGCACTATAATTAAAATTCTAGTTTATTTACATATATTGTTGGCCTATTGAAAAGAGGGAAACTCCTAGTTATTGTGTTGTGTAAAATGTGTTGATGTAAAATTTTTAGGAAATCATATTTTTAGATGAAATTCTGTTAAAATTTTCACAAAATCTATTATTTTTATTATTATGAAATGTACATATATCAAATAATCTTACTCTATAGAAAAGATACACTTATGATTGAAATTAAATATTTTTTGAATTAAGGTTTAAGGGATGTAGTTAGTGACAAAAGCGAGGTTAGCAGGAGCTGTGCCCCCCATACACTAATTTTTTAAATGAGTATAATTTTATTTATAAAAAATGTAAAAATTATTGTTAGTTCCCCACATTTAAATAAAATTTCAGTTACGGCTCCTCATATTTAGATAAAATTTCAATTAGGGCCCTCAATGATGAACTCTGGATTCATCCCGGGATGTAGCTTATGTATATATCGGTGTGGGTTATATATAAATTAAATTTGGGGCGCGTGACAATTAACGTATCTAAATAAATAGTAGCAAGAAAGGAGTTTTGATTCGCATGTAGGGAGGGACCTAAATGCTTGATTACGTGAAGAACTGGTAAACTACAAAGGTGGCGGAACGTGAAGCCTTGAAGATAATACTTGTTTTTCCTGTGCTGGTCCAAACATGACATCAATAAAGACCCACAAGATTTTTTGTTTTGAGTAATCAGTCCTGCAATGTGATCCCTCACTTTTAAATGTTAATATCACGTTCCTTCGGCCAGCCAAGTTGTCCGTTTGGATTGGAGGTGAACAAAGGTGATTTTTTTTTTTGGGGTAGAGAACAAAGGTGATTTTAAATAATAGTGATTTTATTAAGTAAATATGAATGAAAATGCTCCCAATTCTTTAATTGCAAATGTGTCATAAATTAATTTTTTACTTGCAAATGCTCCCAATTTAATACTTAAACGTATACCTTACATCAAGTTAATAGCTAATATTCCTACGACCTTTTACTTTTTCAAATACACTGTTGATTCAGTATAGTTAAAACTCTTAAGGAGGAACTAATCAAATTAATAGCGTTAGGTAATATGTTTTTATTTGTCATAAGCATCTCCGGATTAAAAACATTAATTCATTCTTAACATTTTATAAATCAAATATTTTATAAATAAAAATATAAATATAAAATATAAATCCATAAAATTTAATTCAATGTAACTCAAAACTCAAGTTTCTAACCTTTACATCTGTTAGTCTTTACATTTTATAAATCAGTTACACTTTAGGTTTCACTTGATTATTGGAAAGAAATTGAATGAAATGAAATAAAGAACAAAGGAAGATTTTTGATCATCTAAAAAATGTTCTAAGGAAAAAATGCCCCACTTACTAGTACAGCATGTCTATCGCTCTTTGAAAAAAAAGTACAAGAGCAAAAATGCAATTTAATCCACAAAATAATGGTAAAAACTAAGATGAACAAAAGAAATGGATGAACACATTCATAAAAGAGAAGAGTAATCTAGCTTAAGGGAATAAGAATCATGATTCATAATATTTTTGAAGGATGTGATGACTTTTATATTTGTAATATATATTAATGAGTTTTATCATATTTATAATGAGGCAAATGCTGATTTAGTCCATTTTTATTTTAATTTTTTCAATCATTTTAATTCCATTTCATTTTGTTAACCCAATAGTACCTTAATTTTTAAAAGACTAGATATTTTGTGAAAATATGAGGATTAACGAATTAAATGGCTTCAACTTAAAGTTTTGAATTAGCAAACTTAAATTTTAGATATTAAGTTAAAATTATAGCATAAAATATTAAAATTTATAACTGTTACTACTATTACTATTATTGATAAGATGATTTTTGTTATACTATGGGTGTAAATAAAATGTAGGGAATGCGGAAGGGAGACCAATAAAGGCTGGTGTTGGCTAAGATTTAATTTATAACCTATAAAATTATGATATTAAATTTCATTGCTGATACAAAATTTTTATTAATGGTGATCTATATAAATAATTTTATAAATATCTCAAAGATTCAATTCATTCATTCATTCATTTTTTTTTTTTTTTATAGAAGTGAGAATCAAACAGAAACGTTGGCTGGCAGTGCAGGAAACGGATGGAGGTGATGTCACACTTTGCTAAACAAAACTGCAATTTGCGGCCTTCCCCAAACAAAAGCCACACCTCTCATCAGTCTTCTTTCCCAACCCCGAGACCTGAGCAAGAGCTTCTCGTCTTCCTCCTTCACCATCCACAAATGAATTCCCAATCACCTTCTCGCCTGCTTTACGCTTTTGTTTTTAATTACTCAACTTGATACCCACTAGGCTGAACGCAGCAACGCACCCATCCATAAGGCCGTGAATCACAAGCCGAAACCAGTAACTCAATTATTGCTCCACGTGTCGCCCTCGCATTGCTCCTCATGAATGTAGAGGTCGGCATTTCCCCCTTTTTCTCCTTCCTCGCACTCCCAACAAAAATATAAGCCAACGGTGGCCCCTGATTCGGCCTATCATCGAGAAACCAAGGTTGCGGTTCTCTTCTTTGTTCTCTTCTCTCTCTCTCTCTGTCTCGGGAAAAAAGGGGTTCGTGTAAGTATCTGACTATCTGGATCTGGAACAAAGGCCACAATACTAGAGGCTTTTAATTTTTGATGGTTTCAAGAACAAAATAAACGATTTGAGTGGATCCCAAGAAAGCGGGAGAAAAATTGCTCCTTTTGCTTGTTTTCCTTTCAAGATTTGCAGAGCAGAGAAGAAGAACCCAGAAAGAACATCAACAAGTCCGTTAGTAAAAAGCTATTTGATCCGTGCAAGCAACAGGCAAAAAGAGTTTTAACTTTTGGGGACTTCTGTGCTCGCACGATAAGTGGGTTGGGGTAGTTTGAGGAATGAAAGAGAGGAGATAATGGATTTCTGGCCAGAATTTCTTGCGAGCAGCTGGGGCAGAGAGTTCGTCGCCGGAGGCTTTGGAGGCATCGCCGGAATAGTCTCTGGCTACCCTCTCGACACCCTTCGTATCCGTCAACAGAGCTCCAACAAAGGCTCTGCTTTCAGCATTCTCAGACATGTGGTGGCTAGAGAAGGACCATCTGCTTTGTACAGAGGCATGACCGCTCCGTTAGCCTCTGTCACTTTTCAGGTCAATCTTCTCTCATCTCTTCCCTCCATTGTTTTAATTCCTAATTCTTCGATACATATTCAACTAAGAAATTAGTTGGCTTCTGTGAAGTTGAGAAAATCACATGCGGGACACTAAAATTCTGTGGTGGGGGACCACAAGTCCAGAACCTTATCATCACGTGTGTCCATATGAATGATATTTCAGATGACTGATCATCCAGAACCTACGAATTTCACATACGATTTCGGGGTTTGATCTGGTTTTAAGCCTAGTTTCTGCTAGATTCATTCGAAAGAAATTGGTAGTTGATCTGGTGTTAAAGCAAATATCAGTGGGCCAACGTGCCAGAACTCCTGGAATTAACTAGGGATTTTGTTTTTCGGTACTGATTGATTCCTTTTAAAAGCAGCTTTCCCAGTTTTTGTTTTTCATGATGAAATCAATGAATCTTCATCTTTTGCGAGTTGCTGACGAATCATCAGGATAGGGCCTCCCTGATTCATACCCTTTTTTTAATTCACGAGCATTAATAAATCACTTAGATTAGATTGGATTAGTTTTGTTTACTACGCTATGTTTTAGGATGGGGTACGTCTTCTCAAATAACTTAGGCAGGAAAGGAATCAAACTTGGCTAAAACAATGATACTATTATTATTATTATTACGTACAAGATAGCAATGAAATTTGTAATTTTGATGTCATCCAATACTGGGACGTGAGAATCGTTTCTGAATGGAAGTCTCTTCTTAAATTTTAGAGTCAAATCAGGGATATACTTGACACCATTTTTTTTAGCCATCCACGTGTGGATTATTGAGGGCCAGTGTGTTGTGTTTGTGTTTTTTTGAACATGAAGCATAGGGGGCAAGAGATGGGGCTATCTTGCTTGACCTTTTAAGGCAGGTGGCGTGCCTTAAGATTAGCCCATACCCACATGTCTATATAACCAACGATCTTTATGACTTTGTGGCATATGTTTTCTTGGTCTACCATGAATCTCAAACGCTTTTTATCGTTCAAGTTTGTTTTAATTACTAATCTAATTCTTAAAGTTTACTCTTCTGGTGTTATTTATAGGATAAAAAAAGGAGAAAAAAAATTAATTTTATTTATAAAACATCTGTTAATTCTCAATGCTTCTCTTTATATTTTTGTCCTTATTAACTGCTTTAAATAAAAATATTAGTTATAAAATTTGAGAATATTTATTAGAGGTAAAAATAAAAACTTGTTAAATTTTAAGATAGAGTTAATAAAATTTAAAGTTTTTCTTAGTTTTGATGAAAAATGTTAAAAATAACTTATAAATAAGATCAAAATGAGTAATCTTTACAAATTAAGTCCTTAAAATTTCATAATCATATACAATTAATTGTTATAATATTATTTTTTTCTTCAAACCGAAAAGACTAATTGAATAATTGTGTACGCTTTTGAAACTTTAAAGATTTGATTTATAAGGATTAAAATTTAAAAATCAAATCAATGACTGGAACAAACTTGAAAGACCACAAGTTTTATTATCCACAATCCAGATAATAGCTTTTAACTTTTTAAAATTAGCCTTTTGGACCAAAAATTTTATCTTAGTTTTGAAATGTACCTTTCTTCTATATGTTGACTGTTTCTGGCTGTTGTGGCTGCAGAATGCCATGGTATTTCAAATCTACGCAATTTTCTCTAAAGCATGTGACTCATCAGTCTCAGCCACCGACCCACCGTCGTACAAGGGCGTCGCTCTGGGAGGATTCACTACCGGCGCCGTCCAAAGCCTCCTCCTTTCCCCAGTAGAACTGGTCAAAATTCGGCTTCAGCTCCAAAACACAGGCAAACTCACGGAATCTCACAAGGGTCCCTCACAAGTAGCCAAGACCATCTGGAAGAAAGAAGGTCTCAAGGGAATTTACAGAGGCCTCAGCGTCACCGTGCTCAGAGACGCACCTTCTCACAGTTTCTACTTCTGGACCTACGAGTACATGAGAGAACAGCTTCACCCTGGTTGCAGAAAAAGTGGCCAAGAAACCTTGAACACCATGCTAATTGCAGGGGGTCTGGCTGGAGTGGCGAGCTGGGTCTGCTGCTATCCTTTGGATGTTATAAAGACGAGGCTTCAATCTCAAACCCCATCTTCTGTGAAGTACAGAGGCATCTTTGATTGTCTCAGAAAGAGTGTGAAAGAAGAAGGATACGCAGTGTTATGGCGAGGTTTGGGAACTGCTGTGGCTAGAGCTTTTGTGGTGAATGGGGCTATATTCTCTGCTTATGAGATTGCTCTGAGGTGTTTGTTTAACAATGGAAGTAGTATTCAAGTGGAAGAAACTATCTGATGAGGATAATGAATGAATTGTTCTTATAGACCCCAGAAATTGGAAAGAAAGGAAGTGATTGTGGGGTCAACAATAGGTGTGGTGTTCTGAATCTGATAAACATTGAAGTTTGGCTTTGACATTCATTACTTGATGATGTAATTGCCAAATATATCAATCTTTTTATCAAGCAAATAAAGATGAAAAAAATTTTAATCTTCTTTTCTCTGACGTCCATGAAGTTTCTGTTTTTGCCTCTCTTCTCATCAAGTTTAAACTATAGGAAGGCCTTCTAGGACAGCGGGAATGCGCGAAAGGAACATACATAAATCCATAAGCTTGAAGAAGACATGACGAGGAACACTAAAAGAAAGAAAAAGAGAATACATGATTTTATGATTCTTAGAAAGAGACGTCAAGAGTGAATATGTGGAGTGTCGAAATTCCAAGAGTAACTTTGAGTTATGTGGCTGCTGATTCTCCGTCTTTCCACGGTGGTAATTTCTGGTTGATTCTATTTTCAACTATTTTACACAAGTACTGATGTGTATATCGATTATGATACATATCCAAAACATTAATATTTTCATTTTTAAAAATACAAGATACAATACATTTTTGATACGTGCAAATATATTTATAAAAATTATAAAAAATTAAAAATATAGTTTTAATTTAGAAAAAATCTAGCCTAGCATATATATATATATATATATAATTCTTTATAGTAATATTAAACAAAATATAATTATTAATTATACTTATATTGTATGTCTATCTAATTACTTACCATCTAGTCTATATTAATAGTTCCATACTAAGTATTTATATACAAAAAAAATTATATTTCTACATTTTTATAATAAAAAATATAATTTTTATTCTTTTATTATGTCTAAAACTTATTTTAAAAAAAATTAATCTTTAACTTTAAAAATAAATAACAAATGACATGACACACCTAATCTATTTAAGTATTTAATAATATTTAATAAAAAATATCTTCAAAGTATTGACTTTAAAATATCAACTCATAATTTAAAAATATTGAATATATATTAAAAATTAAAATTTTTTAAAATTAAAAAAATATTTTAATATTTTATGAACATGTATCAAAAAAATATCAATGAATATCGGATATAATACTGATACAAATACTTGAGATAATTTAAAATATTGATGTTTTATAGTTTTTCTCAACGATGTGTTTTTACTCTTTATTTCTTGCTGCCCTCGATGATTCTGCCATTAGATTCACTCGCCAATTTAACACACTATTTTTCTTTGGAAATAAATAAGATGAGCACCTTTACACTTAGCACCCAGATAAGCGCTGAAATCAAATGCTACAAAGCCCCTAGCTTCCAGTTCATAGAGAGAAGTGATCTCATTTTTTATGGATTATTTGAAAAAGTTAAGTCAAATAAATATAATTAAATCTTTGGCCAAAAAAAAGTAAAATAATTAAATAACTAAATAAAAATAAACATGAAAAATTGCATTGGATTTCAGGTTTTCTCATATTTTTTACTAAATACACTACTATATGATCACAAGAAAATTAATTATAGACGGAATTAAGCTGACGTTAACTTTTAAAACAACAATTTAACTTTAATCTTGCACTAATACATGATTTAATAGTATTATTTTTTTAAAAAAAGATATGTGATAGTACATGTTACCATATATTGAGATCTATTTTTTAGATTAAGCAATACAAACTGTTACGAAATCATTAGTTATTATTAAAATATATATTTTAGTATCAACAAAACAACACTTTTTCCAAGTCTCAATTTTCTTTTTTTGATAGATCACAAATTTTAGCATAATAAAATTTTGTAAGTAATATATCCTATCAATATATAAAAGGATAAATGAATAAATTACCCCCTAAACTTTAAATTCAATAGCACCATAAATTTTGAATTTGTTAATTATGTAAATTATTCTTTTAATTTTTGAAAATGATGTAATATGGCCCTTGACATAACAAAAGTTAACTGCAATTATTAGTTAACTGTAAAATGACAAAAAAGGACTTAAAAATTATAGGAAATGACTTAAAATATTTTTGTCATTTTTTTTAATTTTTTAAGTCATTGTTTATAATTTTTGAATCTTTTATTGTCTATTTTGTCTTTTTTAATAATATTTTTAGGTTCTTTATGTTATTTTTAAATTAATTAATAATTAAAATTTACTTTTGTTAACAATAAAAGCTGGATTATACTATTTTAAAAAAAATTAAAAAATAATTTGTATAATAAAAAAATGTACAGGATTTATGGCACTAAATTTCAGGCGAATTTGCTCATTTAGCCACGTAGAACTATCACCCCAAGCCGTGACCGGATCAGTCTGAACAAAAGAGAACTGCTCATTTTAGTTCACAGGATGAGAAGGAAGAACGATAATGACCGTTTTGTCGGCGGGCGACTGGTGAGCATGAAATAATCCGTTTCCCCACTCAGAGTTGAGCTTCTCGCTGTCTTCTCCAATGAGCTGCGTCAGCATGAGCATCGATACTAATTTCAATGGGGCACTCTTAGAAAATTTCCCTTCAAGTTGGTAACCACTAGGCTGAGAGCATGCGTGGTCATGAATCTTGGAAGAAGATCAGATGCTCAATCCAGCGAACCAATTACTGGGTCGATTACTCGATCCAGTCCCATTCACACTACTGATCATGAAACTAAACGTTCGTATTTTGCCATCTTTCTCGCTCTTGATCTCTTGAGACATCCCCAACAAACATAGCCGTCGGAGGCATTGGCTCGGCCAATTACTCAAAGATCTGGGACTAGGATACAACCATTTTGATAGTTTTGAGAAGGGGATCAATTATTTGAGTTGAAATCAGTAAGTCCTGTTAGTTCCGCATATTCAACCACACAATCTGGAGCGATGTGATCGTCACACAAGCAACACAACAAAATCAGTCCGCCAAGTTAATGGATTTCTGGCCTGAATTTCTCCCAAGCAGTTGGGGTAGAGAGTTTGTCGCCGGGGGCTTTGGGGGCGTTGCCGGAATAATCTCCGGCTACCCTCTCGACACCCTCCGCATCCGACAACAAAGCTCCATCAGTACTGGTTCTGCTTTCAGCATTCTCAGGCATGTGATGGCCAAGGAAGGACTCTGTACAGAGGCACGGCGGCTCCTTGGCCTCTCTCACTTTTCAGGTCCTCATCTTTCCATTATTTTCCTTCTCCTTTTGATCCTAATTATGATAAGATTTGATAAAACTGGGCAACTTATAAACCCAATAGTCAAACTCAAGAAGAGAGATACAACTTGCATGGAAGCGTAATGAATCCTTTCATTTTGACTCAATACCTAAATTTCAGGAGCAGTGTGTTTTCTTGATTATTGCCGGAGAAAATTTCTAAACATTTCCCATAAAGGAATAGCGAAGGTTTCCAATCAACCAGCCAAACATTTATTTATAAATCCAAGGTTATGTTTGCGTAACTCACTTTTAATATTTGAAAAATATTTTTTAACTTTTAAAATATAAAATATTATTTAAAAAAAATAAAAAAAATGAAAGTACTTTTTTTAAAAGTACTTTGAAAATGTTACTGAAAGTGAATTTAATAAATATAAGATGATAGAATTTTTAAAAAAGTAAATTTAAAAGGTGAGGTATAATTTAACCATGATATTTCAAGTATAATCTATTATTTTTTAGTTAAAAAATATTTTTAATTCATTAAAAATATAATGATTATTTAAATAATAATAATAATTAAAGATCAAGTTGTTAGCATTATATACTGAATAATTAATCATGTTATTTTTTAGCATTAATATATATTCAACTATTTATAATTTTTTGTCCAATAACTCAAATTTTATGTTTTATACTTTTATTATTTAATATATTAAATTTTATATTATTTAACATTTTTATCAACTAACAAAGATTTGTCTAGTTAGTTAAATTTTTTTAAATAAAAAAATGTATCATATATATTTTTTGAATCACGTTAATTTTAAATATTAATGTATGTTAAACTATTTATCATATAATATTTTTAACATATCAAACTTTATATTTTTTATTCTTATTATTTAATATATTAAATTTTATATGATTTCAAATTTTTTCACATTTTTGAGACATATTTAATATATTATATGTGTATAACAAAAATTATAAATTTTTATAAGTTAATGTCATTTTTGTCATTACATATTTAAAAGCACATTTTAAAATGTAAATTATTATTAATTTAAATAAATTTTAATTTACCAAATTAATTTTTTTAAAAAATGTATTCAAATATCAAGATTATAATAATTAGTTTTTGCCAAATTAACTTTCACCAAATAAAATTTTAGCGAATAAATTTTTAATAACTAAAAATCAAACACACACTAAATATGTGAGATTTATGATTTCATGACTCAATAAATTATAAATATTACTTTAATGATTTGGTGATCTTTAGATTAAATTCACAATCACTACACCCCTATATGCCAAGAAAATTTAATTTAAATATATTATTTTATCTTGACTTAATTAAATAATAGTAACATATTTTTAATATTTACATGTGGTTTTTGAATTTTATTTCTAACAAATTAGTCCAGTAAAATTAAGAAAATTGTAACATCCTGATTTTTATATAATAAAGAAATTGTGGAATTTAGGTTTTGAGGAAAAAAATGATAATAATAGGAATTTATATTATTTGAGGTTATTTAGAAATGATATTATGGTTAGGTATTTAATTATAAATTTAAAAATTTAAATTTAAAATCACATAAGCAATATTTAGTTAAGATATAATACATAAATAATTTTTTATTGTGTGTTAAAAAAAAAAGAGAAGGTAGAAGGAAAAAAAAAGGGGGGTGGAAGGTTGTTGTTTCTAAGTCCCACATTGGTTAGATGAGGGAAGAGAAGAGGTGCCTTCATGTATAAAAAGGAGGGGGTGTGTGCATTAGGAAGCATGAGAGGCTAAGATGTAATTTAGAGGAAATTGCAACTTTTGGCCCAAAAGTTTGAATAATTAAATTCGAACCTATAGTTTTTTTTAATATAATTTTGGGACCACAATCCCATTTTTATATTATTTTTCTCTCTTCCTCTCACGTTGCTCGACGTTTTTCTCGCAAGGGGGGATTATTTTCTTTTTCTTCAGGTATGTTCTAACTTTCCTGTTTAGATTAGCATTTAAAAATTTATTTAATTATAAAATTAATTTTATAGTTATTTTCTAAATAATATTAGCTTTCTAGTGATATGATTATTTTATAGGATAGAGTAAATATTCTGATTAGAATTTTTTTTCTATAGGATAATTAATCTGATGATATGATGGATTAAAAATATAGGTTAAAACTCTTAGGGATATAATAAATATTATAGAATATTTTCTTGAGGTTGAAACTCATGTTTAAGAATTTTTAAGTTAAAATCTAGATCTATATGGTTGAATTTATGTGAAATCTGAGATGTAGGGATAAACCTATGATTATTAAATATTTATTTAAGTATGAATAGGTATTTTTGAGGTTATAGAAAGGTGATTTGAGGCTTCAGAATAATTTTAAAATTTTTAATTTATTTTTGGATGAATTTTTAGAATATAGAAGAATGAAATTGTGATATTAGAAGTGATTTGAGGATAAAAAAATAGTTTATTAGGGTACGAGAATTTTAGAAAAAGAATTTGGAAAGTTAAATGAGGCATAAATCTTAAATTAGTATTAATATGGATTATAGATCTAAGACTTTCTAATTCGTTAAATTAGAGTTATTTATTTTAATGTAAAATTAATATATAGTATTGTGAAATAATTATGTAGATTATATTGACAAAGATAGTGGTGAAAAAGGAGTTGTGAAGGGGAACTTGTTATTCAAGACACAAGGTAACCATTATTAATGTGTTGTGATGAGTATATTTGTGAATGGTTATGTGTTGTTTTGTTGTTTGAAAAAATTATGAATTATTAAAAATAAATACTGTATATACTTGTTTGAAATTATTGCCAAGTGGGTTAAAAATTTATCTTTGTTTATCATGATGAGATATTATTGTTCGGATATATTCCTGTTTGGATATTTGAATGATGCATGACTTGTCAGGGTATTTTAATGTATGGTGTTAATGGAAATTTCTGTTCGGTTAATTATTACCACGTGGTAAGCCCTCATTGGACCCAATAAGTGGCGTGTCGCTTGGTCCAACTCACCTTTGGCCGGGCGATTTGGCGTCCGAGCATGGTGAAAGGAGGATATAAGGTGCAGTCGTGCAATTAAATACTTGTTCGGTTTGTTTGAAATATTATTCGGTTAAATGTTTTGTGTACCCACTTAGCAATCGCATGATTAGTTACATCCGCATGCATCATTACATATTAATTTTTGGTTACTGGGACTTTTAAGTCTCATTCCCCTGGTTAATATTTTTACAGGAGCGAATCCGGCCGAGAAAGCACCAGAGGTGTAATTATGGTGTATGAGACACCATCTTTTACGTTGCCTCTTATTTTGGATTATACAATGTATCTTGTGCCAACTTAGGACATATCTTGTCTATGGAGCATGTAAACTTTAATCCTTTTTATTAAATGCATTTATATGTCCAAGAGGATTATGTCTATCCCTTTTGATTCATGACCTAATTTGAATAACATGTTATGAGGATCATGTCTGTCCCTCATGGTTCTAATTGCTTTTTGAGATATTTTAAGACCTGTGGTATATTGTCTTGGATGTATCATGGTAGAAATTTTTCTACCATGATAAGGGTATGATAAGGGTTCAATGAAAAAAAAAAGAAAAAAAATAATTTGTTGAATTAATAATTTGCGAAAAATCGGTTTGTAAATTTGAAGGTGTTACAAAAATCACATATGGGAATATCTATAGTTCATCCAAAGCAATATCATTGCTTATTTGCTTGCTGCAAAATGCCATTGTATTCCAAATCTACGCAGCGTTGTCAAGAGCATTTTTTTTTTAATAGAAAGCCATAGAACAAAAATGTGCAGATAGACAATTTAATTCATATCAAGGTACAGAAGATTTTTATAATTAGAAGGTAAATTATCAAAAATTTGAACATTTAAATTATTAATAGAAGAGCCGGCAAATCCACATATTTATTAGCTTTCTTAAAGACATGATTAAAAGTAACCGTTCAATCTTTCATAATAAGTTCGCTAATTTTATTGGTAGTTGCGGTTAGGGGATGATTTGTGAAAAACTTGTTGTGTATTAGCGTAAGTGCTTTTGTGCAATTAGAATGAACATTAACTTTGTGAAACTTTTCACCCTAAAAATGTTAAGTCCTTTCAAGATGCTCATAAGCTCAACTATTGTACTGGAGAGATAATTAAGATATTTAGAAAAGTTTTTAATCCAATTATCTTGATAATCTTAGATAAGACCACTAAAAGCACGCACGCCTTAATTGTTGATGGAACCATCTATATCAAGTCTAATCCATGCTTTTTATGGAGAGAATCATTTAGCTTTTGATCTATTATCATGTTGAGTCAAAAAGTTGATTCTAAATTATAGGTATTAATCATTGAGAATATTTTATATGCTAGTAAAAGCAATGTCTTTGTCAAACGTGTTTTTATCATAGTAGATATTTTTACATTTTTCTTTTCAAGTATTCTAACATACATGAGCAAAAAATCTTTGCCAATAGACATTCCTTGCTTTTACATTACCTGCATCTTTTTTCACTTTCCAAATTTTCTATTCATGTAAAGGGAGAGAGAAAAAAATATTTAATTCAAATTGTTCAACTAGTGTTAACCAAACCTCTTTAAATTTTTTATGAACTTTTGAGATATGAGTGGTTGGTTTGTCAAGAGCACTTAACATATCAGTCCCAGCCAATGAGCCTCCTCCATGTAAAGGCATTGCTCTAGGAGGATTCACCATTGGAGCCCTACAAAGCCTTTTACTTCTCCAGTAGAACTGGTCAAGATTCGCCTTCAGCTTCAAAACGCAGATAACAATAAATTGACAGATCAATCTCACAAGGGTCCCATACAAGTGGCCAAGACAATATTAAGAACAGAGGGTCCTAAGAGTATGTATAGAGGGTTAGGCATCTGTGCTCAGAGACGCACCTACTTATGGGTTCTGCTTCTGGACCTGCGAGTACATGAGAGAAGCGCTTCGCCCAGGTTGCAGGAAAGTGGCCAAGAAAGCTTTGACACAGTGTTAATGGCAGGTGGTCTAGCTGGAACAGCGACCTGCGTTTGCTGCTATCCTTTGGATGTTATAAAGACAAGACTTCAGGCTCAAACCCCACGTTCAGTCAAATACAAAGGGATTTTAATTTGGATTGCCTCAGAACTCAAAAAGAGTGTGAAAGAAGGTCACGTATGGTGGGGTTCAGGAACTGCTGTTGTTAGAGCATTTGTGGTGAATGGAGCTATATTCTCTGCTTATGAGATTTCCTTGAGATGCTTTCTTTAACAATGAAAGCAATCAAGGACAGTAAACAAATAACATTCAAGTCCAGCTTTGATATATTTGATGTTTTGCAAATCCTCACTTGATGTAATTTAGGGATTGAAAGTTTTATTATCTCATTTAAAATATGGTTTTAATTGTTGCCCATACATTTCCTTCTTTTTTTTTTTTGGGCTACTTTTGGAGTGTTATACAGTCGATTCCCAAGTTTAAATGAGCCACTCTTGTTGGATACAAAATACAAGCTGAATAAACAAGCCTAACACAAACTATTTAAAAAAGGGCACATTTTTAGTGGCCTAAGTTTTATGATTTAAACATAAATTTAACTTTAATTTCAATAAAAATTTAAAAACATGACATTTGAAACTTTTAACTATCATCAATGTAGATGATGAATATTTATTTATTACTTTTTTGGGAGAATTTTAAATAAAGATTAGGAATGTGGTTTAATTACTAGTAGGTTTCAAAATATTATAAAATTTCATTTCAATCTAGGGATAAAAGTAAAAATAATTTCAACTCTAAAAAGATCAAAATACCCTTCATTTGTTGTGTAGAATTATTAGTTATTAATTTTCTTATTTCACTTGTTAATTTACCAATATCACTTGTAAATTACATCTATTTGTCAGAAAAGCAGTAACATTAATTGTTAATTTACTAGCTTTACTTGTTAATTTACTAACATCAATTGTAAATTATTGATTTTAGTAAATTGCAAGGCTTGTAAGTAATTTACAATTAATATTACTAAATTAACAAGTAAAGTTAACGAATTAATAATTGATGTTACTGCTTATGATTGAATAACTAATATTAAGTCATACATAATTATTTATACGTCAACTCATGTAATTTACAATATAAATTAGCAAGTGAAGTAAGAAAATTAACCACTAGTAATTTTGTATAACAAATAAAGAGGACTTTAATCTTTTCATAGTTAAAATTATTTTCACTTTTATTTTCTTGGATTAAATTGAAGTTTTAAATTTTTTGGGATCTACTAATGATTAAGTCACATTCCTGATCTTTATTTGAAATTCTTCCTTCTTTTTTCCTATAATACATTTTTCACAAGCTACATGTAATATAATTTTTAGTAGTTGGTATCTTAAATTTATCTACCTTACACCGAGTTAAAAAGACTTGAATGATGACCAAACTCATCTGAATTGAGCTCGGCCGTGACCTTTAGGCTTTTAAGTAAAAGCTCTATTACTAAAATTGCTACATTCTCCAAGCTTGAACTCAAAACTTATGTTTAAGCAGGGATACCATCGCCCTCATTTGAACATAAAGTGGTTCTTAATAAACTCCCAACCCTTTTTTTGAATGGATTTTTGGAAGCACTGGCGAAGTGTACCCACTCAAATAAAATTTAAGCCCGAAAATTTTGGGTCATGGGCCCAATAACCCCGACACCCAAGCGGGGCGACGCCGTAAGATGCAACGCAACGCATCGTTCTCCATTGACCGGTTCGATTTTAGCAAAAAAATTTTTACAAGATCGCGACAAGTGGCATCTCTTGTGAACTCATCAAATATCGAATAATTTTAAAATGGGAAGCCTAGAGCGGAACGGTGGATGATAGACTGAAATCCAAAAAACGTGGCGGTCCGCACACCATGTTGACGGCATGTGATGAAAGAGCAATTTCGAAACTGACGGGACCCAGCGCTACGTCGTCGTTTCTGTGTGCCGGGGCCATACTCGCACGTGCCTTGTGTTGACACGTGCCGGTCCCAGTCTCTCCTCCTCCAAGGAATTTCAAAGACTTGTCTCATTACATGATTCCTCCTGTATCTTCGGTTCTACTCTACCCAACCTTTAGCATCCACTGCAGCTCATCAGCTCCGTCCAGCTTTCTCCATTCCCCGTTTTTCTCTACTTCTCCGTTTCCATTGAGCATAATGCGCGCATTGCTGAAGCATTGTCTGTGACAATTTTGCGGATAAGCATTCCGATCGGTTTGAGGAAAAAATACTCTGATCGGAGCTGGATTTGATTTTCAGAGCTTCAGAGTGGAGTTGCTGTGATTCGATCGGATTCTAGGTCGGGTTAAAGGGAGAGATAGTAAAAGAAGGGGGAAAGGTAAAATAAGATGAACGGAGGAGGGAGGCAGGGACTGAGATCTGGTGCGACGGGGGTGCATCACCAGCGCCAGTATTCGGACAACTTTCTGAACAGCTCGTCCAATGGGAGGTGGCTCCAGTCAGCTGGCCTTCAACACCTCCAATCCTCCGGCGATCCCATTCCTCCGCTTCAGGTTCTGATCTTCAACATGTCTGTTACTGTCTCATTTCTGATTACACTGACAAGAAAATTGAGGAAAATGCAATGAAAAACTTGTTTTTTTTTTTCTGTTTCCAGTTATACCTTAATGTAAATGGATTCCCATGAACTGTGAGTCTATGACTATATCAGCTGAACTGTCTTGTTTTATCACATTTATAATCTGAAATTAACCATAGCCTTTTGCTGATAATCCGAAGTTTTTTTGGCCCTTGGAAGAAAGTCTGACTACACACAATTATGATGATGATCCGATAGTGATGCTGTCTTAAGACTTCATTTCTCTGCAATTTCAATATCTACTTGAACTTGATATATGCTTGAAATTCGACCAGGACTATAACTTCTATGGTGGAGGAGGGCAGGGAGCTAGGATGTTCAGGAATACACAAAGGAGCTTTAATGGAGTGAATGAATATTACACAGAACCGTCCACACCGCCAGGTAATCATCGGTCTTCAAGCCAGATGAAGCATGGTGAAGATTCACCCGGTGATTTCAGCCCTGGGCTGTTGGACCTGCATTCGTTTGATACCGAGCTTCTTCCTGAGGTGAATTTTCTAGAAAGGCTTCCAATGGATTTCTTTCCTTCGTGGTTCTAAAACAATCATATGCTCTCCTTCAGATAAGAATTCATGACCAATACTCACATTGCATATTTGAAGTATAACGATATTTCAAAGACTCCTGGAAATTTTTCATTTAGCCTTAGCATTGCTATCTTGCTCTAGCACTTGAAATTGTTTGTGCTAGGGACTCTTTCAAGACAAAGAAAAAAACGATTCAACTGCAAGAGCTGAGCTGATGTTTACTTCTAATGAAAGCTTCAAAAGATCCTAAACTGTTCTTGTACACCCATTAAAACCTTGTTAATAATTTATCAGGGATGTAAAGATCAGAGGTATAAATTGATTCGAGATATGATTGACAATTTGATTACTTGAAGACATCAAACATTTCGCTTTGAAGTTGTCATACAAAATATTATTTTATTTTATCATCATTATTTTGTTTCCATGTTGAATTATTGTGAGTGATTTCTCATTCTGGAAAGATAACTTAGTTGTTCTGATGATCTCTACCCTGTCAGATGCCAGTTACGAACGTGTATGATAGTAACTCCATGTATCATCCTGTTCGGAGCACATGCTTTGATGACTCTGAACCTTACGTTTCAAACAAACAGACTGGTAGAGCTCGTGCTCCGGAAAACAACCTCCTCAGAAGTATTTCTGCAGACAAAGAGAAATCTAGTTCTGTAGCTAAGATTAAAGTTGTGGTATGTTATCTCTTAAATCCAATTTACCCAGTGGTTTTCCCCTCATAATTGCTGATTTGTGTATCAATTCCTTACTTACTTGCTTGCATTAACAAATTCCTTCCAAATAACCACAAAAAAAAAAAGAACATAATAATTGCATCACCAAATTCCTTCCACTCTGAAAATTAAAGTTGGCCCTACAGCAGCAAGCATTGCTTGCATCTCAAGTCTTTTCTGACATTTGGGTGTTACTGATTTTAATGCAGGTGCGCAAAAGACCATTGAATAAGAAGGAACTAGCAAAGAATGAGGAAGATATTATAGAAACACACTCCAATTCTTTAAGAGTACATGAAACTAAACTTAAGGTGGGTGTTACAGGCAAAAGTATGAGAAGTAATATCCATAGCTGAAATGTGGTATGTTTATCCTTAACTTTGGGCAATATCTGATGATGCTATTGTAGGTAGTATGAGAGCTAGGAAGGTTGAGATTGAGCTGCCCAACATACCTGACGACTTTGAATTTTTCTCCTAATAAATCTATGATGTGTGACTTGGAAACAGTATAACTGGCATAAAGCCAGCTTCAGTTTCATGAATTTTCTTGCTTAAAATATTAAAAACTATGGGGAAAAAGGAAAGAAAAATTACATTTTTCTATACTTGTATAATTTGGGTCTCTAATGTGCTAGCTTTAAAATTTCTTATTTAAATCAAAAGCTTCTCTTATTAAAAACAAAAAGGAAAAACTAAAACAAACCAAGAGAGCTTCTTGGTTTGTAATTTTATAGGCATATTCCCTCACTAATTTGTGTTTGTAAAAAGCTTTTGGCATGATATTCTGATTATAATTAATGCTTTGTATTGGAAAATTTCAAAATTTGAATGCTTTTCAGGTTGACTTAACTCAATATGTAGAAAAGCATGAATTTGTTTTTGATGCTGTCTTGAATGAAGAGGTTACGAATGATGAGGTAACTTTATGTAATTAGATGTTCAAATGAGAACAAAATGATAATACATAGTTCTATTATGTTAACATTTCCTTCTTCTCAGGTTTATTGTGAAACAGTGGAGCCCATAGTTCCAATAATCTTTCAACGCACAAAGGCAACTTGCTTTGCTTATGGCCAAACAGGTGTTAACAGCCTCACATATCTGATTTGCTTGATGTTAAAGCGAGCTTTAGCACAATGTCATATTATGCCTATTCAAGAAATGATACTTGCACTTCATATCTTGTATCTCAATGGAATTTTCTTTTTCTTTTTAATTCCCAACAAAAAATGTTGATCATGAAAAAGTGCTTGGAAAAGAGGGCGCCTGGGTATGTTACACATAATTATTTCAGTTTTATCTCTTTTGTCTACTTTAAGCACAACTGTGCAAGTTGATGTTCTTGGGTGATATAGATATTAAGCAAGTTTTTTCATTACTCCTGCATCTACTTGATGCCAAAACAAAACATGTAATTCCTGTAAGGTAGTTTTAAATTCTACAACAGGTTTCATGTCCAGAGGAATCTGATGTTTTGCACTACTGTTGGCAATTGGCATATTGTAATCAAGTTGTATCCTAAATAAATTCAAGTCATTGTTTTCTACTTACCTAGGTAGTGGAAAAACTTACACAATGAAGCCACTTCCGCTTAAGGCATCAAGAGACATCTTGAGATTGATGCACCATACTTACAGGAACCAGGGCTTTCAGTTGTTTGTGAGTTTCTTTGAAATATATGGTGGAAAACTTTTTGATCTCCTTAATGATCGAAAGTAAGTCATTCTAACATTTCCTCCTTTTGTCATCGTCTGTAATCTCAATGTCTTCATGAGGCTTAAATAAATTTAATTCTGTAGAAAACTTTTCATGAGGGAGGATGGTAAGCAGCAAGTTTGCATTGTGGGCTTGCAAGAGTACAGGGTATCAGATGTGGAGACCATCAAGGAGTTGATTGAGAAAGGAAGTGCCACAAGAAGTACTGGCACCACAGGTGCAAATGAGGAATCTTCCCGATCACATGCAATTCTTCAGCTTGCCGTCAAGAAGTTAGTTGATGGTAGTGCTTCCAAGCCTCCCCGTGCTGTTGGCAAGCTCTCCTTCATAGATCTTGCTGGAAGTGAACGTGGAGCTGATACCACAGACAATGACAAACAGACAAGGTAGGCTTAAATGAGCTGGAAAGGGGATAAGATGAATTGGCATATCTACTTATTTATTTTACCTAAAAAGGTCACTACAATAGAGATTAACCACTTTGTTGGTTTTGGCTTTGTACTATTTCATCCCCCCCCCCCCCGGGGGGAAAAAAATTCAGTGCAATAGACATTGCTTTGAGAAATTTTAATTTTAGTACTCCAAATTTGGTCATATACTTTATTATCAACTCCAATTTCCTGGGCCCATCTATGGAGTTTGTGCTGCTACAACATGTGAACATAACAAGTGCATATAAGATTTGACATTCTGGCTGCAGATCTTGTCTTGTTAATTTTCCCCCTTGCCATCAAAAACTTTATATCTTGCTTTTTTGCACTTCGACACCAGGCAGACTTTAGTGTATAGAATATGATTCAGTTGTTTGTAAACCTCTTGACAGTTTTGTCTTTTTTGTCGGCTGTTTGAAATTTTATGATGCAGAATTGAAGGTGCTGAGATCAACAAGAGCTTACTTGCCTTGAAGGAGTGCATAAGAGCTCTAGATAACGACCAGGGACACATCCCCTTCAGAGGCAGCAAATTGACCGAAGTTTTGAGGGATTCATTTGTGGGCAACTCCCGCACTGTTATGGTTTCATGCATATCACCAAGCTCGGGTTCATGTGAACATACGCTTAACACATTAAGATATGCTGACAGGTAATTAAGATTTTTTTTTTTTTCCTTTTAATGCTGATTGTTTCCATGGTTCAGCATTTCCCTCCTTCAAATCTCCCGTCCTCCACAGGGCACACAACAGCACAATACAACTACAGCCATGCATAAGTGAGAACAGAAAAATTGATGCCTTTGCTATTACAATCTGAATGAAATTCCAGGGTGAAAAGCCTGTCGAAAGGGAGCAACCCTAAGAAGGAAGTTGTGTCTTCAAATTTCAACCCTAAAGAATCGACTACCATTCCTTTATCTGCTGTTAGTGCATCAACCTTTGAGGACCGTGCAACTGATGTGTGGCCTGAAGAAAATGAGGATGATGAATTTAGTCCGCCTGAAGAGTACTATGAGCAGGGAAAACCCTCTTGGAAGAAAAACGGAAAGATAGAATCATACAGTACCGCTGAGGACAAATTAAAGAAACCCAATAGTCAGATCAAATGGAAAGACATGCCAAAAGTTGAATCTACTACACTTTTAGATGATGATTTAAATGCCCTCCTACAGGTAAGCTCCTGAGAGAGTGGCTATTTATACAGTGAAGTCTAGAACTCATTGTTAGATAATGCTTATTTTCTCTTTTGTAATTTCAGGAAGAAGAGGACCTTGTAAATGCTCACAGGAAACAAGTAGAGGATACCATGAATATTGTCAAAGAGGTATATAAATTTGATGTCTTCAACATTTTAACTTTTAAATGTCTTGTCAAGAATGCAAATGAGCCATGTGTGTCAAACTTAGAAATTTCTGCTATAGTTGTGTAAATGTCTTTATACAAGATGGCGAGTCACCTGAAGCATGCTTCTCATCTAGTTGCGTTTCCACGGGTCTTGGATGAATATTATGACGAAAGTCTCATCTACTTGGGAAAGAACATTCCAGAGATTTGTATATTTGGCAGTTGATACCTGGTCTGGATGAATTATTATTATTATTTAAAAAAAAAAAAAAACTCAGTCATCAAGCATCAAGCCCCATGCCGCCTGTATCATTCACGGGAGAGGTGGGATCCAAGAAGTTCATCAATTGCTTATAATTATTGTTTGAATACATTTGCTTGCAGGAAATGAACCTCTTGGTTGAAGCTGATCAACCAGGGAATAAATTAGATGGTTACATAACAAGATTAAGCGCCATTCTATCTCAGAAGGCTGCTAGTATCCTGCACTTACAAAATCGTTTAGCTCACTTCCAGAAACGCTTAAAAGAGCACAGTGTTTTCGTTTCCTCTGCTGGTTATTAACATCATGTATTAAGGAAGGCGAAACTTCTGTGGTTCATGCACTTGGTTGGGAAACCATGCATTCCTGCAGTGCAGTCGGAGAAGATTACGTGAGATCTGGCATATGGCATTCTGCTAGATGATTCATAGTTATTATGCATCATAACTATTCTCCCAGGGATCAGAAGCTGAAGTCTTCACTTTTTCTTTATTCAGGATGCATGTATAAAGCTCTATATTGATGTTGGTCCAGGGTCATGAACAGATCATTTCTTATTAAATAGTTTTCTGCTTACCCTGAGGTGGATAGGTATGGAAAACTGCTACGAATTTTATTCATTCAGCTTGGAGGCACATTGTGCAGATGTAAATGCCTCCTAATCTGCTTTGTCGAAAGCCTTGCTTCACTAATAATAGATCATAATCCTTACCACGCTGAAGCCAACGTTGAGCTTAAATGTTACAGTAGAAGGAACAACTTGATAACATCCTGAACAGTTTTTTTTTTTTAATATAGAAAAAAAGGAATTAATGCACGGTCAAGCAATAAATGTGGACACTTTTTTTAAAAATGATTTAAATTTTAATTTATCACATTATAAGAAATTAGTCTTTTCTGCTAGAATAAATTTTTGATGGTAAAGATTTTAAATTATATATTACATCTGTATTTTTTCTTACAGATAAAAGATAATCTTTTTAATAGATTATAAACTTGAGTTTTGTATATAACTTAAAAGTGGGGGAGAGTGTGTTTGGATTTCTTTCGGTAGCTTTAAAAAGTTATGCTTATGCATATCCACCTTACAATAGATTCGAAATGATCCTTCCCTCCAGCGTTGTTTAAATTTATATGCATATCATACAGCTGCCGCCTGTTCGTGGTTAACGTTTCTAAAATGACATGAATGTGTCTGTCTTCTCACACACTTCAAATATATTATTAATATTTTAAATTCCATTTTAATCCTATGTTTTCTTCGTTGATGAATCACCAAGTATTCAAGCGTGCAGTAAACAAAACTATTGTAACAAAAATAAATAAATAAATAAATAAATAAAATTGCCATAGTTTGTGGGAATTCAAACCAAACGACTCAACAAACCACACAACACACAGTGGAAAAGGAAAATAGGAGGCACAACACCGTGAAATGAAACAGATTTTCATATGCACAAAAACACTAATATCAATGGCTATCCTATCAAGAGTTGGGTTCTGCTAAATGAGGAGGAACAGAGAACTCTGAGAGCATCTCCATGAAAAACTTGTCCACAACATCTAAGTAAACTGGACACTTGAGACGAGAATAGTAATGCAGTGCCTCTTCTATATCCAGTAAGTGCTCCACATCATCAACATCCATCATGTCCATTTCCTTCATCTTTTGTGCTAAAACATGAACTCGTCCTCTTCCATTTCCTCTTTCTGAACTCAGATATTCCTTTTTGTTCTTCTCTTTTCCTTTATCTTCTTCTTCAATGCGTTTCTTCACTGGACTTTGTTTCACAAAACCTGTCATGCTTTCGGTAGATTCAGCTGCATTCTCAATCTCTGGCTCGTTTGATTTCGACCCTGATAAGCCATTGTCTTCATTAATCATCTTTAACCTCTTGAGTTCAGACTGCCACTGATCATAAAACTCGTGGTAGAATTGCTCGCTGGTGTAAGTCTCGGCATTGCCACTTCTGCGAGAGAAAGGATTGAGGGAAAAGGATCTGGGTAGTTTCTGGTACTCACCAAAGAAGAAGGATTTGAAGTTTTGAATGGTTTTGTGAAAGAAAAATTTGGTCTTGCTAATGCTTTCTCTAGGAAGCATTTGTGGTTCTACTCTGAGAAGGCTAATGCTTTGCTTTTTCAAGGCTTATGTATTCTCCAAATCTGCCTTGAATCAGATTTACAGATGAAGAAGCATTCATATGGTGTAGAGCTCCTTAAAGATAGTTAAAGACAAAAGTGAATAATTCTAAAGGGGTTAATATGTCGGTCTTCTGTGTAGGTCTTCACCTTCAACTTTTTTTGTCCTTGGCCTTCTAGACTGTGTCCCAATCTTTGGGGTCCAAGACCGTAAGAAGATTTTGTCCTCTGATTTGATGATTGTTATCCTTTTTATTATAGATTTTTCAAAAAATCAATGAGGTTTCTAGTTTTAATGTTAATAATGTATTTTTTTAATGTAATTCAAATAAGTAAATTGATTGAGATACGTATGAACTTTGGCTATCATTTTCAGTGAAAGAAAAAGGAAAAAAGATGTTGAATAAATAAATAAAGCATGGGATTTTGGTGTCTAAATTATCAAGAAGTATTGTTTTGTTTTGACTATTTGCTGTTGAAAGTGAATTGTTATTGATTGAGATGCAAAGCTAAAGGTTGGGGATAAATAAAAGATTATTACAATTAGTGGCCTACTAGCTTTTTTTTTCTTTTTTTTTTTAATCAAATTTGAAACCTTGGGACCCATTAACCAAAATCTAAATGTTCCTTGTTTGATGTTATCCAAAAATAGTACTCAAAGAAAATTGCAAAGAGGCGGAAAAGGAAAGAAATTAAGGAGTGAAAATGAGTGTAACTTATACCCCACCCTTTATTCACATTGAAATGGTTTGCATATCAAAAGAATGAACTATCCTAATAAATGTCAAATTGACTTATAATAATTCTAATAAATAAAAGAATATAAGCCAAATCACTTGAACTCTTATTACATCAACAATAGACAAATTCATGAGACTCATCAACTGTAGTTGTATTCGAACCATGTCTTTATAACTGAGCAGTACGTTTTCTATTGAAGCTAGTGCCAGAACCAAATATATGTGAGGGGGTGAGAAAATTATATAGTAGGGTATAAGTTTTTATATTCTCATCCCTTTTTTTTTCCATATTTTTCACCTTATTTTTCCATATTTTTCACCCATTTGAGTCTTAAATGATGACAAATTAATTGTTCAGTGATTCCGAAACATAAAAATACTATTAAATAATTTATTAAGTATGTAATTATCCATCAATCTTTTAATTATTAAATTATTTTTTTAAAAGAATTTAAATACTTACATAAATTTTTTCCTCCCAGCGACTGGTCCAAGTTCCTGACTCTATCATTGATTGAAGCAACAAACTTTTAATATTGCCATTTTAGCGTTACAGTGTAGCATGAGATTATTGGCATATCAAAATTTAGCTGTGCCCGTAAATTCATTTTATACTCAATCCAGTAACGGACCCAGGAAAATAAATGAATGGGGGCATAATTTATACATAAATAAAAATAAAAATTTATGTAAAAACATAATTTTAAATATCTATTAAATTATATTAAGGGTATATAATTTAATAAATAAAATACTAAAAAACCCATAAAACAAGTCATTATAATGACATAAAACACTCACTTTATACAAACAATTTTTTATATCTATTAGAACCATTTTTTTTTTCAAATTTTCGTTAAATAGAATCTATATGCCTCTTTTGTATGATTGAGAATATTTTTTGCGATAAAAAAATTTTTATACAATTTTTTTCTAAATTATTACCTTTTCATTTTAAAACTATTACTATTTAAGGTCATAAAACATAAAAAATTTGAAATAATAAATTTTCTAATAGGATAAGTAAAATTTTATAAAGGAGCAATTCAAATATTTTGAAATGAGGGGGCAAATGAAAATTTTTTCAAGGGGGCAACTAAAATTATTAGGTTCATTTTAGGTAATACTTTTCATTTGGGTTGTGGGGGCAATTGCCTCCACTGTGATGAACGTCCCTGGCTCAATCTACAATGCGTTATTCTAAATTGTGAAAATGAGGTGTGAACTAAACTAACATGTATCCATGATTTGAATGAAAAAGAAAATTAGATATGAAAGAATATTAAGAGAGAAAGCTCCTAAAAATTAGAAGTTTTTCTTTCTATTATTTTCTCTTTTGTATTTTCTTCTGATTTTCTCTCCAATCAAAACCAAAACATAAAGTATTTATAAACTCTGACATAAAGATAAACATTTGATCCTGAAAATGTGTGCGCTCACGCGGGAACATAGGTGAATGAATGGTCCCTTATCATGCAGTGAAGTTGACACTTAACTCATGCAAAGTGAATTGGGCCAAACCAAAAAAGTAAAAAAAAAAAAGCATTTTTTTTTTTATTTGGCATCCAATCATTTTGGATATGCTAAATTTATTATTTGTTCAATCCACTTTAAACTAATCTAAATTCTCATTTAGGTGGGCCTTCTTTGAGGGGATTTAGTGGGTATCACTAACGAGACATATTTTACATGCTTAACTGTACTGCTACATATTTTGGATCCAAACACGACCCTAACCACTAAGACACTTTCATCTCCACCTACCTGGGTCTTGGTTTAAAGGAAAATTAGAAATATATGTTCTTTCTTGTGCAATAATGCACAAAAAAGATCGATGTTAATTAAAGTACCAATTTTGCCAAATTCTACCTTTGAAAAGCAATGTGTATAATTATTATAACAATTAATTTAAGCAAGCAACTTAATTGACTAATTGATTTAAAATACATGACTTAAGTTATTCCAGCCTGCTTCGGCTACAAAAAAAAAGTTATTTGATTGTATTATATAAAATTAGTGTTGGATTTAGATTTATATAATATATTTGAATTAAATTAAATTAAATTAAAAGATAAAAGTAAAAAGAAAAAACATCAGTTGTTATGAATCTGTAGAATTGCTTGTTAGTGCAGATTAAGAATACCACTGGTAAATTTTTAAAAATATTAGATATGATCCATATTTGTAACTTGAACAAATAAAATACATCTTAAATATAATTATATTTAATAAAACAATACAATAAAAAAATACACCATATCAACAATATACAATAGCACAAGCAAGGACATTCAAATATCAATTACAAATTCTTAGTAGAGATGTTATAGCTTCCTACGGTGTTCTAGAATATTATTGTTATTTTTTTATAACAAGGAATATTATTATTTAATTAGCAAGTATAAATAACATTATTTGCTGAACTTTCAAGTTTGGCACAAGAAACAACCAATATTTTAACCCTTACCAAAATATTAATTTTTATATATTTTCATTTAAATTTTAAATTTTTGGTTTCAAATCCGACAATGATCTTGTTTTTTTGTTATCTATTCCAAAAATTAAGTAAATTTATAATTGATTAGATGTACTTTTCGTACTAAAAATCATATTATCTTAATTCATAACAAAAATTTGAGTGGATCAAATCATGAAACCTCAGTAAGGTCAAAACATACCTCTAGACTCAAAAAACACTTATCATTATATTTATAAATTGCTCACTAATAAGATTTACATTGATTTCAAGATTTGATCCTACAATCTTGTAAGTTATAACCAACTCCTTATCAACTAAATAAACATTTTATTAGTGACAAAATATTGATTTTAATCTTACTAAATCTTATGTTCATCAAGTATCATTGTTCAAGATTGGCTTTATATGAGTGAAACTTCTATTTAATTAGAAATTATTATTTACATTATTCTTTGATAATTTAAAATTGGAAAATTAAATATGAGAAGATATGCATCTTTTAACTCCTCTTTTAGGTTACATCTCTAAATATCTAAGCTATTATCCTAATTAATTACCAAACCTAACTTCTAAATAAAGTTAGTAATATGGGTCAGCCCGTAAAGGCCACAACGAGTTACAAACTCGACAGGGCAGGTTGATATAATTCGTGTCTTATGCAAGTTGTATTTCTACTAACTTTATAGATTAACAGGCCAATTCATTAATAAAAAATATTTTTTATATACATTTTTTTAGTTTTAAAAATTACAAATTCATTGCTTTTCAAGACTATGTTATTTTGATAGTTTTCTTGTCTCTGTTGTTGGATTTTGTAGATGTGTGGATGGTTTCTGAGGAGTGTTCCCTGAATATTTTAATACTTTAATTCAATCAATATATTATCTATTTTTTTTTTTTTGGGCCAGGAGATGCTATGTACATATTTCATTCAACTATATTACAGACAGAATGATAGCTGGCAAGGGGAGTAACCTCGTGTCCAAATAAGCATTAAACATCTGTGATATCATTTTAAACGGACGCTTTCATCTCCTCTTACCCTCTCCTCACGTTCCCCGCCTCTAGATTTTTTTTTTTTTTTAACCACATACCCCACTTTTAGATTTAATCTTCAATGGTTGCATTGCAATTTGATATCTTATTGAACAGTTCTTATAATATTAAATAAAAAAAAAAAAACGTGGTCACTGGAGAGAGGACCTGTGACTTGCGACTTGCTGGGTGATGCTGAACAACAAGACGAGCGAGCGAGAAGGAGTCAAGGACGCAACGCAAGCGCCAGAGCGAGGGCTTGAGAATTGAGAGAGCAATCATGTGATTTTTGCCCTTTTTTTTCTTTATAATATGCGATCTAACCTACCAATTCATGAGTTAGCTCATTATGAGTTCAAGCTATGTGAAACATGTCGTAATTGTAATCCTTTTTTTCCAATCCAACACACCTTTTTTTGCAAATTCAGCATGTGAGAGCTCATATTATTAGCCCTACTTTTAAAGTATAGAATCACAAGAAAGGAAATCAAGATACAAAATTGCACGAAGAACATCGAAACTAACTATACCTTGATGCATATAATGAAAATATATTTTCAAAGAAACTAAAAGATCACATTTTATACTAAAGTTACATAGTTTCAAGACATTTTACCCATTTTTTCCTGAAAGCTATTGGATAAAAGACAGTGGTTTTGAGCCATTCACTGAGTCCATACTGTAAATGGCATTACAAAAGCCCAATAAGGAAAGTTAATGACGGCCTTGTTGGGCTTATGAATTGAGCCCATGGGCTTTGACCTAATGAGCACTTCACCTCGGAACTCAACCCTAAACCTTGTTTTTAATGCGGCTCGTATAAAGCAACGGCGCTTCTCCATCTTCTATACTTCCTCGTCTGAAGCTGAATCTAGGGTTTCTGGTTGACAATGGTACCCTCTTTCGTTCCCTCTCTCCCTCTCAGTCTCTCACTCGATATCGATGTTCAATGAACAAAATGCCTGTGCCTTTCTTGAAGGCGTTCTTTTTTATGCTGAATTGGGACTCTGATTTTGCGGTGCCTTTAATGTAACGCAGGGGAAGGGAACAGGAAGCTTTGGTAAGAGGAGGAATAAGACCCACACTCTCTGTGTGAGGTGTGGCCGTCGAAGCTTTCACCTCCAGAAGAGTCGCTGTGCGGCATGTGCTTTCCCTGCTGCTCGCAAGAGAAAATGTAGGTCTTCTTTCGGATTTCATGGATCGGTTGGCCTGTTTAACGAGATGATATTTGTTTTATTTCAGATATAATATTGGATTTGAATTGCGATTTCGGCGTTGATAGTCAATTTGATTTGTTTTTGGGTATTAATTCTGTCGATTACGATTCGCAGACAACTGGAGTGTCAAGGCAATCCGCAGAAAGACCACAGGAACTGGTAGGATGAGGTACTTGCGTAATGTGCCTCGCAGGTTCAAGAGCGGTTTCAGAGAGGGTATGTAACGGCATATCTAAATATCCTGTGATGAAATGTTTGATTGGTTATTCATTATTATTTTTATTACTTATATGTTCTTTGGGCCATTTTGATTCAGGTACTCAAGCCGCACCCAGGAAGAAGGGAGCAGCTGCCACAGCTTAAGTCTCTGGTAGATCGTTGTTTTCTAAATCTTGGTAATGAATTATAGGTTTTTGAGGTTTTTACTGTGGGGGCAAGCACTTGGACAATTATTAACAGTTTTTATGGCCTCGTTGCATCTGTCATTTTTGTATCGAGTAATATGTAGTTCCTTTAATTCAAATGAGAAGACTGTAAGACCTTTTGGTTTTTCACTGAGAGTTTGTGTTTTGTTTTTCATTTATTGGCTCAAGGGAAATCTCATGATAATTCGAAGCATTCACCAAGATGTTTAGTACTTAGTAAACTTGTGATTAATTGAAGTATGGTGGCCGAGTAACCTTTTTTATTTTTTATTTTTTTGCGATGTCATGCATTTTACTGGACATTCTATCATCCGTGCTTGTTTAGTGTGGTTTGCTTGCCAGTATAAGATGAATGATTTGCTGATTCCAAAACCATTTTACTGATTTACAAGGCAGCACCTTTTTCTTGGCTTGAAACTTGATTGCAGCCTGTGACTTATTGGGTATCTTAACACCATAAGTGGTAGGAGTAATAACTATTGGATGCTTGGGTAGATTTGCTTTTATAATTCTATCGTTGAATATTTATTGGGCCAATTTTTTGCATAACCCTGGTGATGTGGAGGTAGCCTGTGTAATCAACGCTCACTTTTTTTTTCAAACAGCCCCCTGTTATGTTATAACCAGAATCATTCACTGATGCAATGTAATATGATCTAAAAGTTAGAAGGTTATCTGCAAATAATGTTTGTGGATATCTGCACAAAAAATAAAGTTCAAGAGAATGATTCAGTAACATGTCATGTTTTGCTAGTGAACTGATGATGGATTATTTGAACGCTGCATATGGGTTTCAAACTTCAAAACTGGCCTTGCGTTTTAGTTGTATGACCGTGTCTTACGCGTATTAGAACAATTTATTTTTATAATAAAGAATGAAGCGCAGAATTAACGATAATAAATGATATGCAGGGATCTCGTTGCTTTCCCTGAGCTGAGAGTTCCTGTAGAAACATTTGCATTTTGTTTGGGATGCGCCTTTCCTGTCTACAGCTCTTGTTTCTCCCCCCCCCCCGGGGCAAAAAAAAAATGGTATCATGGTTCTAGCGTGGGTTGAAATTTATGTTGTATCGTGAAATGAGATATTTTACTTTATTTACTTTGTCTGATTTTTTTTTTTAAATGAACAGCTATTCAAGTCTGTTATTATTCAAAATATTTGTCACGTTGATTTTGTCTTTTTAATTATTTTTGGGTTAAATGACAAATTTATTCCAAAACTTTTCTTCTAGTTACTTTCAGGCATGTTTGGTATTCTTAAATTTTAGTTGGTATATCTTTCAAAAAGAATGCAATGTGGCCGTTGAAAAAAAAAAAATCAAACATCAAATGTAATTTCGTTAACCCACTTCACAAGTCACTTTTAGTCTTTTCATTTGATTAACTTGCTAAAAATTAAAATCTTTGTAAAACGAACCAATATTAAACAAGGGTAATATGGGGGAAAAATGTAATCAATATTCCATATGGTTTTCTTATAAAATGGATAAAAAAAATACCAATCCAAATGCCTTTTCATTCAAGGACGCAAAGAAATAAATTAATTTTGATTTAATGACAATCTGGATTGGATCTGTATTTGAATTTGGATAAATATCTATTTGGATACATGATCCATTGAATTGAATCAAATGAATTCATTTTCTTATTAGAATTCTTCTATAATTTTAAGTGTTTTATTCTAGTTATTTGAAATTTTAACCATTCAAATTGTTCTCTTTTTTTGGGTATTTTCTGCTAGCACCTTTATTATAATTATTTTTTAAATAAACTAATCACTTTTAATTTTTTATTATCACCTTCAATCTCTGATCGTCTCTTACTTTTTAAAAATGTTTACATAATCTAAATAAATAATTTTAAATATATAAATTTTCATAAATTTGAAATTTTATGTTCAAAATCCAAATTTAAACATCAAGGCTTTCATGCCACCCAAGAATTTATGGCATTTTCAGTTTCGGGGAGTGAGCTTTGACATCCAGCAATATTTGCCATCAAATGTTGCCATTTTAATAAGGAAAATAGCTCGGTTTATCTAAAATTTTGAATATTTAAATAATTATCAATATAAAATATAAAAACAGATACTATTCAAGTTGGGACATAAAAAAGATCATTAAAAAAATACTATAAAAAAGAGATGAAATAATCGCATTGCTATGAAAATTTACAAAATAGTTCCGTTGCGAAGCCAAAATTAATGGATGGCCCAGCAGGTTGCGGAGACAAATGGGGCAAGCAGAACTTGAGCAATACGCCAAATGTAGAAAACATTGCATCGGTAACAATGTTTCTCTGGAGCTAAATCGGAATTAATCATCTTCACTTAGACTTAAACTCACCAAATTTGTGTTTCTCTTCATCAAGCTGCTTGAAGGCGTATTCTAGTTCTGGAAATGCCGATAACATAAGTAACTCGAGAAGGTCATAAGCCAGCTGCTTCAAGCATACAGATGACTGTGACAAGGTAATCAATTCATTAAATTGCAATCAAGCTAAATTATGATAAAACGAATGGCAATAATAATTTTCTCCAGTCAGTAGAGAGAGGTTTTATTTACGATAGAGCAACATGATAAGATTGCTATTCTTAACTTTATTCGACAACAGATCAGTACGTTGATTATGTAATTAATGTTCCCATATTAAAACATAAAAATAAAGCAACAAACATTTAAATAATAATCTACCAGGAGCACTCAGTTAACCAGAATAATTGGGACACTCAGCTGCAAGTGCAGAGTAAAAGAGCATAGATCTAATCACAGGAATACATGCCTAGAAAACAGATAATCATGATCCAAGTGATTAAGGGCTTGTTTGATTTTTGTTCTCACTTTTTAAAAAATTTGTAAATCAATTTTTAAAATGTTTTTCAAAACAAAACAAAATAAAAAAATCTGCTTAGTTATTTTAATTTTAAAATAATTTTAGAATTAAAAAAAATCAGCCGATAATAATAGTAGCCTTTTGCTAATGATAGTGGCTTATGATAATAATTAGTGAAAATAACTATAATTATCTTGAAAAACTAGAAAAATACAACAAACACAATTTAAGATGTTTCTATTAAAAAAAAGAGAGAGAACATTTTTGGAAACAATTAAACCAAAAAAACACTTATCTAAATGTTTTTTAAATTTTTTTATTTTCAAAAACAGAAAACAAACAAGCCCTAAAAGTGCAACGTTCATAGGAAAGATTGAAACTAATGTAGGATAAATAAAACAGAGACTATAGGTTGATGTCACCCAAAAGTACAATGTTAAAGTTAGAATTACTAACAACACTGCAGAAACAAATATTCTCGTCGGAGAACATAAAAACATCAAACATTTAAGGAAGGCATTACCTGTAGAAAAAAATAGAGATCCCTAGCACACTGTTCATACTCCTTGCGACCAACAAGACCGACAATTGTTAATGGTGCATGATCTGCATGCAAGTAGCAAGCGAGAGCAGGAAAGAATCAGACACTCAAAAGTGTAATCAAGACCACTTTATTTTAATTAGAGTTATGTGGTCTCTTAAAAAAGTAATTAAGGACAACTTTGAATGCTTAGGATTGTCTATAATTACGTTCTTCCAGATGATTAGAGAGACAGGATCATCATTAATACTTAAACTAATTTGCTTTGCTGTGCAATCTACAGACTTAAATAATGAACAGGATGACATTCATCACCTATCATTAGCGAATATACAAACTTGGCACGTCGATCTGCCTCCCGTTGCTTGTCCTCGTCCATCCTTGGAGAAGATGCTGCTGGACATTGTTGGCCAGGAGGTAAATTCTGGGATGAGCTTGGGGGTGGTGGCCTTCGTTTTGGATGTTTGGTTAAGAATATTCCATCAGGCCACAGTATCTACAGAAGTAGCACAATTCTCGCATCAGCATATCATGTATTTATCAAGGCATTGTACACTAAGTACATTGCTCCTTTCATGTTTGTCAAAGAGCTCAATTATAGCCCAGAAACGTCATCAGGGTTGCATGTACATTATACGAAGTAAATGCTACAAGACGTAGAAGTTCAGAAATTTATCAAAGCTAATGGATATTAAATGGTAAGTTTCCGGAACATCACAAATTCTAAAACTTAAGCAGGTCATAAAATTACATGTTCAATTCGGCTGATCCCAGAAGCGACCACAGATCCCTTGCGCAGAAGCTGGATTTTCTCTATCAACCAATCATCAAAGGCATCACCCATTCCTAATTGAAGAATCTGTTTGGCTACCCAAAAAGCCTTCCGCCTGCGTTGAATACAAGCTAAAAATTATAAGCTAAACTGAGCTTATAGACCTCAACCAAAATTTTACATTTACAATAACAAAATGATTTAAAAAGCTACCTAATCCAGCCACCATCATGAACCTGGAAGATAACATCAACCAGATCCAATATGGGTACACTCAAATTTGGAGGCACCCACTGCACCAAAGAATTCCATATTATCAATATCAGCGGCCATCATGATTAACACATGTAATAAATGTTCTAAAAAGAAACAGATCAACGATTGAATATTAACTTTCACTGCAGATAACAGAATGCCTGGGCCAAAAGAAAAAAAGGTGACAGAATATCTATACTTCATCTATTCCTAAAACTAGAGAACATATATTAAGTGACATCTAGAGAAGACTTGAGTTATCTTGGGACCACCTCAGTAGGAATAGTATCAGATGAGGTATCGTGGAGCAGATTAGGTTCCTTGTCTGAACCATTCAGCTTGCTTCCATTCACTGTCTTCTGTAAGTTCTTCGGAGATGGTGCATTCTTTGACGCTTTAATATCCGCATTAATGCTAGAATTTTCTTTTGACCTTAGTCCATTAGCCATATGATTATTTCTTGCTCGTAAAACAGCCTCCTTATGTTCTGTGTTTTCGTTTTCTCCCCTTGAGGGCAAGGGACCATTTGCAGATGTGGACAGATTAGAAGCTCTTTCAGTCTTTTCAGATGGCTTGTCTTCCAGGTCAACTAGGATAGATTTTAATTAACAAAGAAATGCAAGACAAGTCAAAAAAGAGCAGGGGAAAATGAAATTGTTGCCATACAACACTGTCCATCAAACATGAGTCACCTGACAATGTTTCAATGATCGAAAATGAATTTGTGAATATGTAAGTCTGCAACATAACGCAT